TATAGGTGTTGCTTATATTTATTTTTCTATTTTTTCTGTTTTTTTGTTGCAAATTCTTACTGTTGCTTATATTCGAGAGAATACGGTACTCTATCTCCCAAAAAATATTTTCAAAATTTCCTATTGAACATGATTTTGCTAGATTATCATTAATATATCTTCTCATAGATTCATGTGTTCTGTATTCTAATCCATTGTCTAATCCCATATTATTTAAATCACTTCTATGTACTAAACAACGATGACAAGGGAAATTTGATTGTGAAGATTTATATGTAAGACAATATGTAGATGCCTCTAATAAGTCTGCAATAATTGCTGAAATTTTTGGAACAAATGAAATAATCCTATATATCACCAATTTTTAAATTGATAAAATTGTGATTATTATTATTATTTAATAAAGGTCCTAACATTATTTTTGAAGATTTATAAAATGCAGCTTTTACAATAGTTTTAAATTCCTGTGATTTTTTTTCTTTTTCACTAGTTGCTTTTATAATTGGAAAATATCTTAAAATGTGCTTTGCATCAGGTTTATTACAATGCCATCCTTTAATATTACCTAATGATATAAACACAGGATGCTTGCTGACTCTTGCCTAAGTGATCACAATTGGTGGAATCTGAATATAATATAATAGATAATAATTTTGTATTTTTTGGAATCAATGAATTCATGTGTTCCCACCATAAAGCAGAATTTTTTTCACTAAATATTTTAACATCATTCTATAAATCTAATTAATTTTTAATATTTTTTTAATTATAAATATAATATGAAACAGTTAAAACTTTACACTTACATCAATGTGATTTTCATAAGAAAACACAGAATTGCTTATGACATCATCATTTTCTAGAAGGTTTTTTATGCAATTGACTAAAGGCCAATGATATAAATAATAGTCTTTTTCTTTATAACTCATCACCAAAATTTTCTTGTGACTTATTGTCAGTGGTTTAATCTTATCAATAAAAATTTTTCCTTCATTTATATTTTTAGGGAGTGGTGATATTGTACTCTGCCAATCCAGATCATTGACATTCACATGATCTAAATAGTTATAAATTTCTATAGCAAGTGATGACGATTTCCCCTAAAAAATACAGTTTATAAACATAAAAACATATTTATTTTTAGAAAACCGATTTTATTAGGATATCAATATTACATACCCTAAGTTTTCCTTTTAATTCTCTCATATTTTTCTTGATTTGTTCATTATTAATCCGCTCAATTTCTTTTGCAGTTTCAATATCATGGAGGCTACATGCACCTTCAAAGGCAATATCAAACTGGCACATAAAATTATTATATTAGTTTTATCAATATAAAAAGCAACTCTGATTTCTACATATAAGCTTTTAAAACTTGCAAGACAAAACTAGAGTACCCCCATGTGTTGGTGAAGTTGAATTCAGTACTAGAAGGCATTGAGTGCCCAGAGTAACCTCATAATTCTTTAGGGTTGAATCTAAAATACCACGTTGAATAGGAAACCTCACAGCATAAGTCTCACAAATTTAAAAGACTTATTAGAAACACTGAGCTTTATTTAATCCAGCTGGACTAGACTTTTTTACCATTGAAACCACATGATCCAGACAATCTACTCTTGTTCTTCTGTAGAGTTTTTTAATCATGCAAAAATTATCATCACATTTGAATTTAGTATGTCAGGAATCATGGAATTCAATTGGATCCCACCTGATTGACTGACAGACATTATACTGACAGCCATTAAACCGACTCCATTATACCAACAGGATGTTATACCAATAGACATTATACTGACAAGTCATTTCATAGTGCAATTAATAAATCTAGTCATCTAATAAATGGCTTAACCACTTAAACAGCCTAGCCATCTAATAAATGGCTTAACCACTTAAACAGCCTAGCTATCTAATAAATGGTTTAACAGACTTGAACAGCTTAGCTGGCTAATAAATGGTTTGACAGACTTAAACAGATTAGCTGGCTAATCAGCTAAGCATCATCAGATATGTTAATATATATTATATATGCCGTTTCTTAATATTAACAGATAATGATAATGAACTGATATGGTTATGGTAGGAAAACAAAGAAATACAATCAACCCCCTCTAAGTGCATCCTCATTGGGAACATATCATTATTTCTCATGAATGTGCATTTAGAGGGGGGTAATTTTATAAGCTCACTATAAGTTTGGGAATGAGACATGGCATGCATTTAGAGAGGGTTTACATAGTGAGTGCATTTAGAGAAGGTGCACTTAGAGGGGTTGACTGTATTATGCTAAATTGATAGAATATATTAGAAAATGTCCTGTTGGTATAATGTCTTGTTGGTATAATGTTCTGTTGGTAAAATGTCCTGTTGGTATAATGGAGTTGGTATAATGGCTGTTGGTCAATCCAATTCAATTCAATACTTTCATAATAGCCACAAATTACCAAATGGGGCATACTGCAACAAAACCAGACAAAGTGAACATTTTATTATGTGATATGAATGAGAGGCTGATTGTGATGTG